GCTGGTTCTTTGTGAGAGACCAATGGAATTACGACAGCAGAGGCATCTAGATATTCCTCCTCCTAACACGTTTGCGTAAGCTGATAGGTCGTTCTAAGTTGGCATTCTGCAGGGTTCCCAATCCAAGTGGGCCAATGATTAAATTGCCTTGAAGGAGAGGGCCAACGAAATCCGAGGCCACGGTTAGGTTGATTGCAGCAAGTACACTTGTCTCTGGTAAGCCTCAATCATGATTCGCTCTTCTCTCCATTCTCTGTAACAGGATTTTCACGTTTGGTGAAGTTGCCCTGGATCCAACAACGGTACATCTTCAGTTTGCGCTGGCGGTTGACAACGAGGCGTCGGTCATATGCCAATTTGTGGACCTCAAAGGCACCATCATTCTTAATAGGAGCAGGCTGAGCCTTCTCATCCTCTGCACACTCAGATGACTTCTCCGGGAGACCCTTCTCGGGGGTCCACCGGCTCCACATTTCTTCCAACTCATCTCTATCAAAGAAGAAAACGCGAGTACCATCTCCGCGAACGTAGAAATTCTCATCCAAATACCGACCCTTCTTGAATCGAACCTGAGCCAAGTCTCCCCGTCCATAATCACGGAACAAGACCCGGCCACCAGGCTTCAGGACCCTGTGTATATTGCGAAGGGCCTTGTCCCACTGGTTCGGGTTAAGAGCAGAGAAGATAAAGATCAAGACAACCACATCTACCGATCCCTCCGTCAGCCCCGGTGGAAGGGAGTCATTGTTCTCGTCGGGTTCGGCCGCGACGTCCCAAACGTCAGCGGTGATGTGTTTCGGATTATAGTGCTCGGATCCCCGCATCACCTTCACGGCGTTCTTGGAGAAGTCGCACGCATGGACCATGAGTTCGTCGTTCGCATTGTTGTTGATCAGAGGGAAAGCGGTATTTCCTGCGCCTGCGCCCACTTCCAAAACGACCTTCTTTCCTGCATCAGGACGGGTTACCTCCTCTAAAACGGGGAACTCCTGACGCAGCCATTTGCGATCCTTGAAAAAATTGGCCGTGTTGTTTTTGTAGAAGAGGTTCCACCACTTGGCGGGGTCGGCGTTGAAGCGTTGCTTGTCGAAATCCGATGCAGGGGCCTCGCGCTGCTTGGAGTATTGAACCTCTGCGAAGGCTAAGAACTCGTCGTCGGGTTCGACGTGGTCCCAGGCGTTAAACTCGAAGATGTCGTCGCCTTGTTCCAGGTAACGGGAACCGAATTGAAAGGGATCACTGCGCTTCATATTGTTGGAGGGGTCGTGCGAACGATGCGGGGCGATCTGAGGGGGTTGGACATTTTGGGTGACTTCTATGATTTCGTCGTAGGAGTGAGCTTTTCGAGACATGGCTTCGTTATTCGATAAAGAACGTTATGCGGCTTGAACGAGAGTATAGAGATATAGACCGCGGCGAGTGGAGAGAAAGAAATCTCGTTGCGGAGAAAAAAGCGAAAAAGATCTGGTGGGGAAAGAAAAAAAAAAATAAAACAAAAACATATTAGTGCCTCAGGCACCAGCGGTTCCTATCTGTGGAACCCTCGAAACGCTATCTCCGGACCGGCCAATCAATAATGTGGATGCCTGAGGGATCAGCGATGGGCCTGAGCTAGCTTCACTGCCTGCCTCAGGCACTTGGGGAAATACGAATCCATTCGTCCCCATTGCTCATTCACTTTCTTCTTCTCCTCACTTCCTCTCAACTTGCATACTGTGGCCTTGTCAAACGGTGTCCCCCAGCTTATAAACTGGCATAACCATCCATCAGTAACATTCTACGAGTGATTTACCGTCATGCTGGACATGTACTAATCACTACTAATCTCTACTCCACCCTTATCACTTCGCATTGACCATCAAATACTTCGCATACATATCCCGCATTAGTCATATAGACGTATTAGTGGTTTTTACTTCCTCTTGTCTGAGTCAAAAGGAGGCATTATTCGCTCCTGCAATCCCCGAGACCGATTTCCAAAATACCTCTCAGTTCATCATGTCCATTCTCAACATTCTTTGTGGTTGCGTGATCCGTTCCCCACCATCCTGTCAATTCACGATTCAGCCTCGTCACCAAGCACCTCAAACTAGAGATAATGGCACCACCACAAACAACACCACCAATAATAGTCCCCCGGACATAGATGAGGAAGACGGCTATAACCCCGTCATCCCATTACCAAGATACACGCCACGACCAATGAGCATCCAAGAGAAAACCCTAGAAGCACACATGCGGGACCCCCCAATCTCACCCTCCGACTATGACAACGACTCAACATCTTACCCGGATGAGAAGGACCGTTACGCATTCGAGACCGCTCCTAACAGGAACCACAATCCTGAAGATCTGACATCAGAGGTCTCGTCCGCTATTTCTTTCCCTAGTAGCTACGGTAATACTTCGACAGCAACGAGGGACACTCCGCCGCCGCCGTATTCATCTCGCGGTGTCTCTCCTGCACCGTCTAGGTCGATGTCTTTCTCTTCAGCGGGGCATTCGCTGCCGCCGCAGCAGTTGGCTATGATGCAGATTGCGCAGCCGCGCCCTGTCTTTCAAAGGTCAGGGAATCTAGCCCGGAATGTGTTGGCTAGGAGGAGTCTAGATGAGCAAGCTGAGCCTGGGAGACCGAGGAGGTTTTCCTGGGAGACTCAATAGTTGGTAAGCCTTTCTACTGATTAAAGGCTTGAATGGGTGGATGATAAGTCTAATTCCGCTGACTATTCTTTAATTTTTCCTTCATTTTTTTTTTCCTTATCGTTTCTGCGCTATTTAAATAACTAGGGATGCTGCATGCTGGTTACGACTAATGATTGGGCTTGGGAGGACCTAATATTACATGGATTTTGGTAATGGGCGCTTTGGGTACTGATTTCTAATTTGGCCCATGCCATTTAATAACTTTTTTGGTCGTACATAATAATGCATATACATATTCAAATCGTGTCGCTTATTATAAAGAAAGAAACAACACAGGTAGCGATCATCTGACCCCACCATTTGTAACCAGCCGGCTATAATAACACCAGCTCGTGTTGACACTGTACTTGCTCCTGTACATGCTTGAGCAAATATCCACTCGTCAGCGCCGGAAACTCCAACAACTTGAGAATGCGCGGATCATCGCTCTCCTCAAGATACATACAGATAGCCACGCACTCAGATTTGGCCCTTGTCTCCATCCACCACACGTCCAGGTTCATGATAAGCGACAACCACCAGCTAAGAATAATCAAACCAGGTGGGTCCTTCTTCAACAATTGCTCGTAGAAGTCCGGTAAAAGCCGGCCCATGAAATTCGTATAGTGGATGAAAGTCTTCATACTCCGCTCAAAGGTAAGTAACGGGGTTAGCATGCGCAAGGGCCAATGGTAAGGATTTGTCTCCTCGGTTGTTGTATCGTCAATGCCGCAGATGTCGGCGAGTTCCGGGTGCAGGTCAATACGACCCGGACGATGGTCATTGTAGAGGGGGTTGCCCTCGCGGGACTGCTTGAAGACATCCCACCACATGCTCTGTGTGATCCAGGGTACGGTTAGGGACACAAGGTGACGCAGACCACTCTGCAGCATGAGCCAGTTTAGTGATTCGGGTTCGTCGGAAAAGACGAATGAGCTACGGGGGTTGTAGGTCTCTAGACCGAAGGAGTGGATGGTCATCATGAGACAGGCGGAGTAGAGGGAGTCCATGTTGTGGGGGCCGACGGCGGTGGATATTTCGTGGGAGTACTGTTTGATGGCTTCTTGCCAGTGGTATGCCTCGACCATTGTGTACGACCTATCTTCGGGGTAGATGCGGCGGAGATGGGATGTTGCTGCGCCAATGATAGTGTGCATGAGGAACGGGGTCTGTGGTTGTAGTTAGCTTGTCGATGGTTCTGTTGTGTTGGGGTGATGAAACCAGAAGCCCTAACATCAAAAGCCAATCGTATCATTTTACCCCTCATCATATTTTGGGAGCGCTCAGAGCTGACGGTAGGAGTCGTGGCTTCATGAAAATGATGCAAGGCACGAACACCGGGAGACAGACGACCATTTTTAGTCTTGATCTGTAACAGTTCATCTATTTTGGACGAGACAGCCATCAGCGACATTGTAAAGGCCGCTGATTCAGGCCCTGTCAAGCTTGGGACTTTCTCGATAAAGTAGGAGATGACACTCTTGCTACGTGCAGAGACAACTTGACCGGCCTCATAACTGCAGTCAACCTCATGCTTCTGGCACCGCAGGCAGTGCGGTTTAGTTTCATCGCACTATGGTGTTTCAGCCCTGCATTCCTCATCGAATAACAAGGAGAGTATAAGTGGTGAGCAGATACCTTGACCCTCCGTTGCTTACATTTCACGCATCCAGTACGCGACTTCCGATGTGCTCGACGAGCATGATACACCTTTCCGACATCTTCAGATGCGCCTGCACCGGAGGACTGGTACAGTGGTATGCGGAATAGGCTCTTCTGGCCCCGTAGGGTGCCTGGGGACACTGCAGGCGGCGTGCTGTCACTGCTGTGGGACAAGCTTTTCTCGCCAGCTTGCGAGGACTTGTCCGCAGCCATAGTTGAGCAACTAACAGCGAATCAACAACGGCTAGGCGATGATGAGGTGCGTGGTTTAGATCGAGTTTTGCGGGTTCGTTTGGCCTTTCTCATCCTAGCCAGGCCCCATTTTCAACCTTGGGGATAGAAATAAAAGAACGCGAACTCAAGCCCAAGGCGCAATCATCCCTGAGTCCCTCCTCGTATTGTTGTGGATTGTCAGCTGGTAAGACATCTTATTGGTGAGATATATACACCGCCTCATTTGTTCAACCAAGAACCACCAGATCCTTTTTAGACTTTTCGATATTGTAGGGGAGAATGATAGAGAACAGACACCCCGTGACTTGTAGGGATTATATAAAAAAGAAGTTAGAAGAATGTTCATTCAATATTTGTAACTAGTTAGTGGAAGACAGACATAACCTCAAAATTAAGCGGCCGAGCAAAAAAGGAACTTCAACCGACAGGAATGGGATTTGAACCCATGCCTCCGAAGAGATTCGATAACCGATCCTATGCGGATTCGAGTCGAACGCCTTAGACCACTCGGCCATCCTGCCTGTTGCATATTTGTAAGCGCGCAGATTAGTCTCTTATGGTCATGTCACCCTCTCAAGGTGATTCTCACTTTGTGGAAGAATTTCATAGCGGTTGACAGAATTTCGGGAGATAAATACCGAGATATATATGCACTGGATCCGTACATATATATCTAGCGACCGGCTATCCAGGTAATCCCTAGTAATAAAAGTCTTACTGTTCACTTTCAAAGTGATACGTTCCGTGAGGTATATATATTTGACATACACGCTAAGGATGTCGGGCGACTCACTCACATGGTGAGGGAAGGAAGGAGGTAGAGCCCTACATTAGCCCTCACCATCCTAACCGAGACATCATGTACACCGAAACAAGACAGTGATCGCCCATCGACATGAGGGAAGTGGTAGGAACCATAATTCTACTGGGCCTACTTATACAGCGCTAAGTCCGAACCAGGCAACTCTCGTATTCGCTCCATTGAAGTCTATATCCCATTACCTAGTACTGGTATATTAACCTGGAGTCCCCAGTTTGATAAAAATGAGCATGCGCATTGAATGATTCAAGGCAACGTCGTGCTAGTCATAATCACACAAGTAACCATATCGTTTTCCAATAGGCTGACGCTCATAAAAAATACATAAACTGTCAAAACAACCACCCTCCAAACTAGCCGATCTGCGCATTCGAGAAATCCATCTCTGTACCAATCATTAGTAACCCTAGCATGGCACCAAACAAGATATCGTCAGCACATACCCGGATGCTCAGCCTGGAACTTCTTCAGCATATCCATCTTGCGCTGCTCATCGCTAGTCATGCCACCAATCTCCTTCTGTCGCTGATCGTACATCATCTTCTCGACCATCGCCCTGGTCTCCCCATCCAAATCGCTCAATTTCGATGACTCGGGCGTAATCTTACTGACATCGATCTTCGGCGCGCTTGTCACCACATGCGGCCACCACTCGACCTTATTAACTTTGTCCAGATGAACTGCCACCTCCTTCCCAGGTGGCTGGGACGTCGTCTCCAGTGTCCACGAGCATTCATCGAGCAAAACGGGGTGAGGGAAATCACCCTAACTGAACTTAGCCGCCATCTTGCACTCCGTCACAAGTAAGGAGGAAAGGGAACGTAATATACCTCAATGAGAGGCTCCTGCCCTTTGATCGCCACCTTAATCTTGTTCTTGGTCAAAACCACGTCCATGTCTCTTCCTCGAAGATTGCCCGGCACAGCAATCGTCACGTCCACATCCTTGATCGTTTGCGTCCACTTGTACGGCAGCTGCGCCTGTTCGGCGTCCTCCTTTGCCTTGCGCTCTTTCTCCTCGAACTCGCGGGCGGCGACTTCCTTGGGGTCCGGGTTGTTTTCTGGGTCGGCGGAGGACATGGTTGGTTCTTTGGTGCTATATAGGGAGATGGTTGAAGCTGGTTGTCCTTAGTAGCTGTTGCGGAGTGGGGTGGTGGGGTAGCGTATGTGGGTTGTGGGCGGATTGAAGGGAAGGCGCGGAGTACCTTGTCGGTGTCCTATAAGAGATATAGACGTGTTGGCCGCAGTGTGAACGGGCTATATAGATGTGAAAGCCAAGAAGAGGTATAGGATGTCTAGGAGCTGTTTTTGTTTGGACTTTTGTTCCGAACGGGCGGGTTCTCTTAGGTATCGGGGTCGTTCCGCAGCGGTTCCCCACTAACCTCTTTGGGGTGCTAATATGAACGTCCTGGGCCTCGTGTCTAGTACAATTACACAGTGGAAATATGACACAACGCCAATGAACCTTCTTGACAAATATGTTTATTGCTTAGGACAGTTCAAAATTTGGTTTGGTATGATGTAAATCGACTCGGGGCGTACTACTTGTCCATAGAAACAAGTGTCCCGATTGGGGTATTCATTGCTGATCTAATATGCACTAGATGACGCACTCAAGCTTTCAAATGGGAACAAAATTGAGAAAGAAGATAGAAAATCGCTGTCGTTTATGCCCGTAGACAAGATAATGAGATGGCACGTTAGTGAATCAGTGCCGTCAGTATCAGTCGGCGTAGTCCCTCAAAGGCTAGGGCAGCCGATACGCCCTGCGCACCGTTCCTTGAGCCTTGAGAGGACTGAAGAGGGCGGTGAAGAATGATTGAAGCATCTACAATAGAACGGTTGTTCATGTCGTGGAATCGACATAAGTATGGAATAGAATCGTGACAAATTGCTCAACCGCCTTCGCAACATGAAGTAAAGCAGAATGGCGCTTGCCCATTCTTATGCTGGAGACTTTTGATATCGACAAGAAATGCAAGGTGAAAGAAATAGGTATAGTCTCGCGCGGTCGTAGCCACATTCACTCTATACTCTCGGTCAGGTTTTCCTCTGCCATAGGTCCCATCCAGGGTGAGCCATCGAAGATGCGAACATGATGCGAGGCTTGAGCAAGCTGGCGAGCATCTTCCACTTGCTCAGCGGAGATCCCTGCTTCCTCCACGGAGTTGAAGAACTGACCCGCAAATTCCGCAACTTCGTTTGCTATCTTGGTTTCTAGAATCCCCTCAAGCATCAGCATATCCTCCTTCCACTTCTGCTGTCTCCGCGCCTTCTCCTCTTCCAGCCGACGGCAGGTTCCATCCTGCTCTCGGAGTTTGAGGCAGTTGGGGCAAAGATAGTTTACTTCGCAATGAGAGCAGTTGCAAGGAGGATTTGCCTCGACGCAGTCTTGGCATACGTGTACCGAGCAACTCGAGCATTCACGGAGGACACTGCCACACCTTTGTCGTTGATCACCGACAGCCCGATACTGGGGGCAGAAGAAAGACTGACAACCCTGCCACTTCACCGCATCCGATTGTGATTCACAGTCGACAGAGGAGCGTGATGAAGATCGGGACCGGTTCGAATTCGAAACCGAGAAGCTCCTGAGACGGCGGTGAACGAGAGCAATGGGTCCTGACGGGCCACCGGCGCTCGGCAAAATGTGGCTACCAACATCGGGGATGCCATCTGCAGGATTGTCTTCGGTAATGCTGCTTGCAGCGGAGCCGAGAGCCCGATGAGTCCTGTACGGCAATTCAAATTCGGCGGAAGAGCTCATGTACGGGACATGTGACGGAACAAAGGTATTAGTGGTTTGCTCGGAGCTCGATCCGGGCTTATCTTGAATAGCCATCTTTTCCAGGGTGAGGTCGCGGTATCCACAAATCCGCAAACGAAGACCCCGTAGGTCATGCTCAATGCACAGCGGCTTCGAGCAGCTCTTGCAGTGTACCTTCCACTGGGGAGTATCGTAGCATTCCTGGCAGAGATTGCGAGGGCAAGCTGCGGGCTCTCGATCCGGTGGTCCCAGTAACCATTTCATCATAGCTATATGCCCTGTCTCGAGTGTGTAGTCGGGTTTTCGTGGATCACCGTAGGCGTATTTGGGAAATGTTTTGCTCCACTCTTGTGCCGAGTATTCCAGATCTTCCCAGCCCTGGCCACGGGGGAGAGGCGCCGCTCGCACCCGATCTACGTCTCGGTTAGGGGTTCCAATACTAATGCCGCCTCCACCGGAGAAGATTGGTTCTGTACAACACCAGTGAAACTTAAGCACAGGATAGGAAGCTGGGGTGTTAATATTCAAGGTATCGTTTTCTGCAGAATTTGCAGGAGGATCTAGCATGAGGCAGGGCGAAGTAGTAGCACCCGGCGCCCACCAGAAGGGTTGCTTAGACTCCTCCGACAGCGACGAGGGGCGTCGAGGACGAACATAGGGTCGATCATATGCACAACTTGCACATAGAGTCTTACGGCAACCAACACAGTGCATCAAGACACTACATTGTTCGCATCTCTCTGGGATTTCCTCGTAGCAGTTGTCACAGCGAATGTTTTCAACAAATCGCTTATGGCTCCAACGGAGATGGGCCGGTGCCATCTTCCCTTCGCCGAGGTCTCTGCCTTCTCCTGTGCCGAGGGCTTCACCGTAGCAGCCAGTCTCACCGTGTTCCCACAGCTTAGCATCTTTTTTGGATGAACGCTTGCCCTGGTCCACCGGTCCAATCCAATTCTTCGACCGCCATAATCGATCAAAGACCACCCACACCTCCGCAGACCCTTGCGGCACTCTCATGGAGACGTAACCTTTCCTCCTAAAGCATCTTCCAGCGGGAGTAGAACACCACGCAGTATCGGTCCAGATGCGTAGCTTATGACAGAGACTGACTAGTTCGTGGGTTGGCTCCGAATCGGAATCCTTCCGAGTCAAAGAAGATGAAAGGTACGGTCTTCTTCGGTGATGACGACATCGATACGTATACAAGCTTTTCAGCGCGAGACGTTTGGTAGATGAAGAGCTTCCGATGCTTTTCCCCATATCCACATCGTACTGAAGCCCAAACATGGTCAGATATGGGATGATATGGTACTTCAGGGAGACATTTTTACATCCCCTAACGGAGAGATGTTCCAGTGTTTCTCGTCGTGAATACAAAACAGTCGAGATGAGGATCTGCCCCGAGACCGCCGTATTATCCAGCTCTAAACTCCTCAGACATGGACCAAACGGAACCACCACGTTCATTAACAATTGGTCAAGAGCATAGGGTCGAGATTGTCGTGGTACCACGGGCTCCAAAGTTCCTGGTATGATGGCCCGTATGGGTGAGGGGAATCCCGAGGGGAAGAAAAGACGAAACGACAGGTACTTCCATGCTGTCGGATAGGATTTAAGAAACGATCGGAGGTAGCGGGAGGTGTGGTAGAGTTTCAAGATGGAGTCAGTCGGAAGCTGAAGTAGCAGAGATTCGAGGATAGGAGCGTGAGTTGTAACGACTCGTTCGAAGGTCGAGAGAGAGCGTTGGGCTGGGATAAGCGACTGTTCCAGGGCCGAGTCTACCAGCACCTGCTGGTTTTGACCGGCGTTATCGGCCATGCTTGTAGGTGCTTGGTTATCCAATGTCTTGGCGGCCAGATCGTGAACGAGAGACATAGCAGCGCCGTTTTATCACCTGGGCCTCTTTTTGTTGTCGCTCACGCTGTCACTGCTACT